TGTAGATCTAATCACTTGTAAGTAACACCTGTATTTTGCCAATTCATACAATAAATGTTTCTGATTTCTGATTTCTGATTTTGAGAAATGGTAAAAAACAACCATTAATGCAACTTTAGGTATCTCTCTACGTATGGAACTAATTGGAATAAAGATAAAGAAATCATTAAATTTATTCCCACTGGTTCCATTGAACTAGTGGGACTGCATGGAACTTTTGGGTTTGAATTGTTCCATGTGGAACTGAGTACATGGAACTATTGGGAATAAACCAATAAAGCGACACATATCATTGTAAAGTAATAAAAATAAAGCGACAAATTCTTTGGCGGGCCATGAACTTTTGCGCGTAAATTCCGAAAAACTGAGATGCAAACCCGGATACGAACTGGAATCCACGATTCTCTACTTAAGAAGCGGTTGGTCAAACCACCACAGCTTACTATGGCTTTTTAAAAGAAATTAAAGTAGCTATCGTTATTCTATTCAGACACCGACACGGTAAAGGTAACTAGAACGGTATCTACTTTTACTCTCACGCACATATAATTAAATAACGATTTCGCCTATTCGTTTGCGGCAGTGACCCTTACGATGTTGATATAACAGGAAGGTGTAATTATAATCAAGATAAGATAGCAATCTAAACATACTGAATAACCTTGACATTAGAACATATATAAAAATATTTTAAAGCAAGTAAGGGTGCGTTCCCACTATGTCGTGACGATAGATTGTCGTGCAGTTTACAGTGTCGTGGCTTGTATATTTAAATGAAGTTGTTCACATATAGCACGACACGATTAACTGTCGTTCACGATTATTTTGACGTTACGACGACAGACTGTCGTGACAATGAGAAGAGCTAGAACGACAGTCGTCCAACGATAAATAAAGCGTCACAATAAAAATGTGGCGACAGATAAACGCAGCTATAAACGATTCTGTCGTGCAAACGACGAGGCGGCTGCCGTGAACCGATAAATTGTCATGATCTAGTGGGAACAGCTAGACACGACAGTCATTCAACGATAAAATAAACGTCCACGACACAGTCACGACAGATAGTCGTGATGTAGGAACAGGCCAGACGCGACAGTCGTTCAACGATAAATAAAACGTTGCGATATAATGGCAACGCGCCCTTACACTTGAAATAGTTACATTCATTCTCATTCGTAAGGCATATTTCTCAGACAAGAATGAGTAAGAAACAGTACGGGGGCTCTTTGTAAATAGATATACTTTCTATACATTTCGTACCTTACAATGAAAGTGACCTAAAAAATATGAGCATGAGTTTATATCGAAAAGGCGCGCTAAAAATAAGGAACATAAGGTTGTTAATTTGGAACTGACTCACTAAGGTTATATGGGTCTCTTTAATATTGTTTTTGAAATTTCAAATTCGCGTATTCCCAAAGTTGAAATTTTGTGTTGTGTCACTTTCATTCCAAAGGTGCGTTCTCATTTACAATGCTTATTTCAAGTATAATCTGCTTACGTATGAAATAAAGATTTTTCTGAATTTGAAGGATTGATGTGAGCTGGGGACTTCTGACGCCTTCCAAAAGTTGAACCTTCTTCGACTTGCAGGTTTCATTACGCTGTTTTCGTTTACTGTTAGCGAGAGGAATTGTCTACTAAATATTTATAAATGGACTGACTTAGATTTTACCGTATTAGGTCGCCGGAAAGGAAGGCCAAAGAAAAGATGGATGGACTGTGTGAAAGATGACATGGATAAGAAAAGTGTGAGTATGGAGTAGGGGAAAGTGAAAGAAAAATTCATGTTGTGCCGTCCCGACCTAGCGTGGGATGAGAACAGGAAGAAGAACAAGGTAAATGTCGCCACAGGGTTTCGAGCCGATCTTTTCAATTAAAAGAAGCAATTGTTCTTCCACTGTAGTATAGTTTTTATTTCGAGTACAAATGTGAAAATTCTTGATAATAAAAATTCAGCTGTTAAGAGTAATTTCTACACTTTTATTATTAGTATTTTCAACATGAGGCACAACACGTACAAAAAAACAAAAATCTCTCTTCGGTCTCTCACTCGCACAGACCTCTTCTTCACTCTTGTCATTTACTCTTATCCTGCTATTGGCGATAAGACTGTATATAAATATGTGCACTAAGATGGAAACACATTACCAGATTAAACGCGTTTAGTTTGAGATGGTTACAGATACAATATAGAATCTAAACTGGCAGCGTAGCAGGGGCAACTGCCAAAATTTTGACAAAACAAAGACAGCCGACAAACATTTTATAAAAAGGAATGTGAAATGTAAAAAAAACTATAATGCTCCGTCACAGCTAGTCACCATGAAATTCAGTTACTTCTACATTGAATATAAAATATTATGTATAAATACACTAGAATATAACTACGTAGGTCATACTACGTCGCTTCTGTTAGCGTGAAGATTTAGGGCAAATCAAACTATGCGAAAGGGCCATGTCAAGCAGTGGATTATTTAAGCTAATGCAACAGGGAAAGTAACTCATAGTCCGTTGTCGGAATTAGAAAGGAAAAGCGTTACTTAAATTAATTTCACTAACAAGAAACGCGAGGCACCTGTAAAATAATTGAGAAGACACAAGATAACACTGTATGTTGATTTTTTTGACGCTAGCTTTAATGTGGGTTTGACAGACTGAAGGACACGGAATGACAGATAATAATAATGCACACACGTACACACTCAACATAGCCCCGCACTAAGAAAACCCTGTGTCGCGGGTGCCATGGACACACACTTAGACAACCACAAATTACGCCCAAACTCACGAGAGAAATAAATGTAGGCCATACAAATATTTCTCCCTACCCGGGAATCGAACTTGGCTCCTATTGTCGTCACGATCTAGTGGAAACAGATAGTCACGACAGTCGTTCAACGATAAAAAATCGTCCACGACAGATAGTCGTGATATGGGAACAGGCTAGACACGACAGTCGTCCAACGATAATAAAACGTGAAGACATAGTGGGAACGCGCCCTAAGGTTAATATATACATATACAAAATATTTGAGTAAATGTACTGTGATGCCATATGACTATGATACCAGTCACCTTAAACTTTTCTCTGAGAGAAACCCGACTACCTAAACGGTACACAGAACGAATCGCTCGTTTTTGAACACAAATATGGTTTGTATATCTGCCGCTTTACCCCACATGACCCTTAGGACATTATACTATGGAAGTAACTAAAGTAAACTAGTCTAGCAGTAGCAAAGTCGGTAAGCTCACGTATTCTACGGACTGCGTATACAGCAGAGCTTAATCTGTTGTCTAAAGAAGATATATGTGGAAACCATTGAAGTTTATTACCTAAGGTCACTTTCAAAAAGACAGCTTACTGCTTATCAGCATCCAATTATTGTAAAAAAATGCTTGAAGGTTTTAAAAGTTTTGTTAGCGATCTGAACTTCTTGCTCGTGAGTGTACCATAATAATATTCTCGCATGTGTTCAGCGGATGTGTGTAGACAAACTGATTTAAGTTTTTGTTCCTTTATGGTAGGTAATGGCGAATCATAGCGTGGCTGATTACCGTTCGTGTTCAAAGTTAAAGTTATTAATGTCGAGAAATACCGTTAACGTTTGTGGCTTTTCTAGTTCGTAGAAAATTATTTTTACAACGTAATTAGGCGCCATAATTGAAAACGACAATTCAAAGTATAATGGGGTTTTAGAACCACTTTGAATGTCTTTTTTTAATGGATTTGTTTATACTATTATTGTTATGCCTGTCGAATTGGGGCTAAAGGAAACAAAAGTTTTTTTCGGTAAGGTGCATTGTGAGTTTTGCTTTTGTGTGAGTGATCGCTAACAGTAGAATGTAGAATCACACAAAATTTTGCAATGAGAATTGAAGGTTCGCATGAGGATGTCAACATACAATCAGAAAAAGCGAAAAAGGCATTGCGCGTTTCGCTTCCGCTGGGACAGCCGTTAGACCTCGAGAGAAAAAAAAACAATGGAACTGTCTTAAGCCTCAATTACTGTCAGAACCGATGTCGCCAAAACTCACACGTTCTTCATTTGAAACGCTACAAAATCTTGATATTGATTGGACGTAGTTTTAAATTTAAAAAGAAATTACAAATTCTGGATTGTTAATAATTATTATAATAATTACATTTAAACTTTACCCTGTTGGCATATCTAGCGGTTCATTGCTGAATGACGACCAATTGGAGTTATCAATTTAGTTCTTTAAACAAGAAGCGACCATGTTGCAGGGGTCGCTTTACTTTCGTTTCTTGTTATAAAAAAATATTTCGATAAACAGAAAATTTAAAATGTATTAAAGTAAGACTTTCCGAAGATATGAAGTACTACCACGGGAAATATTTTTGATGCGGCTATAATTTTTGCACTCCAAAACAGCACAGTAAGGCATTTTTCTAGGATTTTAGACAATTTGCACGAAAGAATGACACAACCATACTATACAAAGCGAAAATGGCGGTCTGAGCTCAGATAGGTCTTTCGAGACCTACAATTGACACGCGTCGAACGCTAACTAACCACTTCTACTGTATTTATTGTTCTGTGCGTTAAACGCTCGTCTTTTTCGCTCATATTATATGAATGTAAAGGTTTTTCGAACCAGCTGAGGCCGCATTCCAATTACTTATGTCATAATGCTCTTATTATTCAAGTTGATTACTTTCATGTGTAAATGTTGCATGTCTCAAATTGAATTTAATTTATGTACTGTCTAATTGTGTTAGTGTTTGAATTTTTTTCTAAATTGTGGCGTTCTATTTCTATGACAGACCATGGTGGAATATTAACGAGGTCTATGTAATTAGCATAGTCCTCAAATGCCGAGTCATGAACCTTTTTGACGTCTTTTTTTTCTACTTTTATTATTACTGTAAACTGTAACCTTACTTATTTATGGACAGGCGTGTAACGAAACCATAACGAAACTTTGTAGGAAAACAAGATGTAGAATGTATTTTTAAGCGTTTGTTACAGTCGAGGTGTCCTGCGGTGGACTAGTGCAGAACAACCTCACGTACTTCGTGTCTCCGGGATTTCCACAGTTATGGATGGGGGAGATGAAGGAGTGCTCCATTACCATCGAGAAGGCCTTCGCTGGTATCACACAACTGAGGGTGGATTTCGTGCATTTTACCTTAGTAAGAATATACTACACACACACGCACACATTTTCTTAAGTTCAACTTTTTTTTTTAAGTCCAACTGTGGAAGCGAGAGCCTGGTGTTCTATCATACAGGAATCCTAGTACGAATACCAATACAAAGTTTCCATGTTTTTTTTACTAATAATGTATTATTTACTTTTCCCTTTGTGTGAGTGAATAAAGTTATTATTATTATTACTATAGCATTCAAGCAAATATTACCAAAGACTTCATCGTAACTGATTTTGATGGTTTAGTTACGTTGAAAAAATAGAAGATCGAAAGAAGATTTGTTCTGTACTTGGTTGAGGACATATTGACGTCTTAATCTGTGATTGAACAAACAACTGTATTTGAATAACATACAAAATTAAGTTGATGGGCATACAATGACAGAATGGTCTTCAGAATCTGGAAAGAGGAAAAAGATATTGCACAATGGATACAATTGAACCGACTTAATAGATTAACTTCCAACACATCTTTCTTCTATTATAAAGAGTGTACCTCCTGGTTCCAGGGCCAACCAAACAGAACAACAGGACAGTGTGATGAAGACGTCATGATCCTGGGGGAAGGGCTGAATAACTTTACAGTTTGCGGTCAGAATCACGGACAACACAGTGAGTTTTGTAATTAATACTTCTACCCTCAGACTTCTGCAGATTCAAAATTTGGAGATAAAAGATTTTCTAAATTTCGTAGGTTTAAACTATTTAAACTATTCTGATGAACAGAATAGTTTAAATATACTTCATTTATGTTTTTTTTTAATATAAACTAAGTGACGGTAGGAACAAGTCGTACGCCTGATGGTATGCGACAGGTCTATCCATAGTAGATGCAGTGCCACTCAGAGCTTTAAATCGCAAAGATCTTAGGGGCATTGCCACTGCGCCCGTCACCCTGAGGCGTTGGTAAGATTGCAGTATTTCCCTGGACGAACTCGTTCACAAGGAGCTCTACGCTGCTGTCCGTCGGTTTATCGCTCATTCGTTATGGGCCCAGAAGCCGTTAGTAGGATTCTTGATCAAATGTCTAAACTTGACATCAACGGGCTTAAGTTACACAAAATAAAAGCGGTAATAATAGTCTAACGAAAGATTGCTTCTCAATTCAGAGCTCATAATTCAAAACTCATCATTTATGCAATTCAAATTTATATTAGTTATGAACATACGCTTCGCATGTCTGCGTACAAGATAATCACAGAAAAAATATGAAACTCAAATATTATATTTGATTAAAAACAAAAAAGTAAAACATGTAATTCGCTCTCATTACCACACAGCTCGGAAAATAGGAGCCGGTAAGTATCCCGTATGTTAAATGGGAGCCATTATAATTATAATTAGTCTGAAAAATATATAAATGAAAGTAATAAAATATATAAGTTAAAAACGAATGAAAATAAACAAGAAAGTGTTGAAGTGTAGATATTGCAATGGGGTAAGGAGAGCCAAATAGCTCTCAATGCCCATTAATAAACTAGTAAAAACATTTCTATTTTTATTGCAATTTCAAACGTAATACCTAAAATTTGATAGATATATAATACATAATGTAGTATCTATTCATTTTAATGGTTGAAATTGATGAAATTTGGCAACTTTTATAAGCGCGTCGCGAAAAACACGCAACCATGTCTTATGACTACACGCGGGGTCCCGCGCCCGCGGGAATCGAACTTTGTCAAATGTTAACGAAGAAGCGCAAATACGAGTATTGGAAAAGTTTAGTTTTCACCGTTCTCATTACCCGCGGGCTCCCAATACCTCACGTTTCCCTATGCTAAACAAACACTGTCTAGCAGCAATACCTCTCGCTACCGGTGAAAGAAAACGTGATGAAGCCTTGCGTGTTGAAGAAGGTTTATATAATCTCAGTACAGACTACTAAACAAACCGACCTCAAAAGTACGTGGATTTACATCTATTTGCTAAGTTTTATTGAAATATCCCCTAGTTCGCCACTATACAGGACTTGACACTGGAGATTATAAAAATAGGTTCTCACTACGACACTACTCAAAGTATATTCAGAGAAAAACGCCTTGAATTGGAGAAATAGCAAAATCAACCATTAAAGTAATTGCTCCTAAATTAATGTTAGGCGCTATTTACGAAAATGAATCATCATGCGTGAACAGCCACCCTTCGAGGTGGATGATTTTCTTGAAAATGAAATGGGACCACTATGGAAGTACCCCCTTTCCAACAAAAAAAGAATTATGAAAATCGGTTCACAAATACCGGAGTTATCGCGTAACATACAAACAAAAAAAAAAAGAAAAAAAAAGAACATACAGTCGAATTGAGAACCTCCTCCTTTTTTGAAGTCGGTTAAAAAGTTGGAAAATGTGTCTAGTCCCTAAACCGCCGTCAAAAGAGAAGCTTGGAGATGACGTGCTTATTACACAATTAGTACTTTTATGTCATTACAAAACTCATCTAAGCTGGATCACTGTGGTCACGGTGGGTGGAGCTAAAGATCGCACCGTTAGGGTAATAAGATAAGGCCTAAGATAAACAAACAATGCACACACTGCTATTAGTAGTTATATTATATAGCGGGGCTATCCCCGCACTAGGGAAACCCTGTATCGCGGGTGGCATGGGTACACACATATTTGTAGACAACTACAAATTCACGAGAGAAATATAGAATCGGACCCGAGACCTCTGTTTGACTGCCATCCAGCATGGACACCTCTCGACCACGGAGGCAGTTAATAATTAATAAATCCTAAACCATAGAGGCGATCACACGGATCTAATGTAATGGGAGTAGCAACCCAATGCATTTAGTAGCAGTAGAGCTCCTTGTGAAAGAGTTCGTCGAGGGAAGTACTGCCACCTTCCGTATTTCTGCCGCGAAGCAGTAATATCAGCAATGCTCTGTTCCGGTTTTGAAGGGTAAGGGTGAAATTACAGGCACATGGGACTTGTCAACTTATGTCCCAGGGTGACGAGCGCAGTGGTAGTGCCCCTCAGATCTTGGCAATTTAATGTTCTGAGTGGTACTGTAACTGTTATGGACAGGCGTGTAGCTGACAATCAGGTGCACGACTTGTTGGTCCCATCACTTGATCTTATAAAACAAAGCTGGACACGGATCTCGTAACCTGTTCTAAGCCACCAAGGTAGTCCTATTTCTTACCAATTTATAATGTCTTGCAGTCTATTACACCTTGTCGAGCAGCGAAACACGAGAACCAGGCGAGCTACCCTCAGTGAAAAGCACTAAACTAACAATTCGTATGCAAGGACCTGATATGCCCAGGATATGGCTGTTGCGGCTAGCTCAATTGCCACTGGCACATTCTGCTCCTCACGACTGCCTACAGTACTTCACAGCTAATAACGGTGAGTTTAAATCGTTTAATAATAGTGAAAATGTTTTTGATTGTTATAGATAAAAACAAGCTTTCTTACGCATTAAAAGTTCTAACAAAGATATAATATTTGAAAGTTTATAAATAGAAAATCTACAACATTTCCATTTCACGCGGGTGTGAACAGACACTACTGACCTTCAAAATAACATAGAGGCGACTGCTGTGCATCAAACGATTCTGTCGTGCAAACGAGAAAACGATGCTGTGGGAACAGCTAGACACGATAGTCATTCAACGATAAAAAGGATACACGACACAGTCACGACAATCAGTCGTGATATGGGAACAGGCTAGAAGCGACAGTCATCTAACGATAAATAAAACGTTACAACATCATGGGAACGCGCCCTTAGAAGTGGAATGTTTTCTTCAAATTTGAATAGGACGGTTACTGAGGTACCCTCTTTCAAACAAAAATAGAATGCACAAGCATACACAAAAAATACAGTCGAATTCAGAATCTTCTCCATTTTTGAAGACGGCTAAAAATCGTTTATAATCCCTGAAGCCACCATACTTATCGACATGCATTTACGACTCAAGTTGATTTAATTCTTATTATAAAGCGGCTTTATTATGTGTCCCGAGTGACTCTCTATCTCTACACTACACATTTATAAATAAATATAAACTTAAAATACACGGTAGCATTAATTACTGGGTAAAATACTGTAAATGTTTCCAAGCGGTTCTGGAGATTATTTGATTGCATTGTTCGAACTATTTGAAGATTCGTCTACGTCTTGCGAGGGATATTAAACAACTCACAGCGCCTATAAATTTGAAATAGTAAATTGACCTCCCACGATATTGCAATTACGTTACCATCAGGCGTTTCAATGCAATGTCAAATTCCAGATTTATGCTTGTGAGCTGGTAATGTAAAATGAATAAGGAATTGTATTATTTTTAGAATATAGGTTAATCATACTTTTCTAGTCAAATATCTGTAGTAGTAGTAATTTACTATGCACGGCAAATTGACCTGGGGGGCAGCTAGCAGTGCTCACGCCATTTCAAACAAAATCACTAAGTTGAAATGTGCGCCGTTCGTAAAATTGTCATCGGCGATGTCTGATGGTGTATCGACCGGCGGCGGTTTTTCAGTTGTTTCAGCAGATTTTTCAGTTGTTGACTAAAAATCTTTACTAAAAATAATCTAACTCAAAGGAAATAAAAATTCTTAATTTAATTCTAGTATAACTAGGATGTACGTAATTAATTTGGATTGTACGAAAATGTTGCATAGTGCATGATTATCAAAGAAGCTTCATTAAAATAAATCAAATTTTCGACACGCCACATCACTAATATCTCGCGTATTTTGAGCACTAAGTGGGGTCAGGTGGGGTAGGAGGAACACCGGGGGAAGAGGGACTTGAAGCCTTGACTTGTAAAGAGTTTAGCACTATAATCTTTCAGTCGATAAAACAGAGAAACTAATTAGTTTAAATTTAAATGATTTCAAAGAGATGTCGCTACGATGCTCTAAATCCAAAAGGCGGAAAAAATAAATATGACATATCGAGTTCTTAGGTTTTCGCGATTGTTACACGTAGGAAATGAAACTATTTTTCCGGATTTAAATCGCGTATATTTGTTTTTTTCAAACAAACCGACGTTTCGGGCCCTTTACAGGTCCCATGGTCACGGTTGATTGAGGTGGTACAGTCTTCAACCAGTTATGTCTAATACTGATGTAAACCACCCTATTTTTTTCACTATAGTTACAATAGTTATTAATTAAATACCTTATTTTTAATTTTACAAAGAAAACATTCCAATTTACGCTATATTAAGTTTTACAAATTATTTTATCGAATGAATTTTTATTAAGTTCAATTTATTATTAATTATTAATAGAAATTAGAATAAACTAAAACATATTAATTAGTACTGCAGTCTTATGTCTGTTTGGGATTTTTCATTAGAGGAAATACTGGATCCCAAACTGGTGGTACGGAGAAACCATCTTCCCTGTTGAAATTAGGATGTTTTTTAATTTCAATGGCCTCTCGCAGCATCCTGGGTAGATAACGGACTTCTTTTGCAAGGACCTGGGGTTTGTCAAACTTCATTGAATGTGTAGGTTTATCCATGACATGCTCGCAGACTGCAGACTTGTTTACGCGACGATGTTTGACATATTCTTTGACTCGGGTACAAATACTTGTCGGGTACAAAAACAAACGTCGGTTTGTTTGAAAAAACAAATATACGCGATTTAAATCCGGAAAAATAGTTTCATTTCCTAAATAAATATGACAGTTATGAAATCTTAGGAACTAGAGGTATAACATTACTTTTATAAGAAATACGATGAGTTTATCTTACAATAACAAACTTTGTACGTTTTCGATAGATACAGAGTAAGTATTGAATTTAGCGTGATGATTGTTAAAGTGTTTAAAGCTTATAAACAAAGGCAAGTTTTGTTGTACTTCAAATATAAGACTATCTCGATACCTCCAATGAATACTATTGTAAACTTCGCCATTGTGGTGTGGCGAGACGTGACCTCGACCTTCTTAATTCGTATTTGAGTGGTAGGGTACAGAGGGTCGCTGTTAACGGTACGAGATCATCAGGGTCTCCAATTAGCATGGGTGTCCCTTAAGGTTCAATTCTAGGCCCATTTTTGTTTTTAGTTTATATTAATGACTTACCTGGCCTCATGGAGGCACTAACCTACGACGATGTGAACAATGTACTAAAGTAGTTGACTGGTTTGCAGTTAATAACCTTAATGAGAAAAAACGAATTGTGTGAAATTTATATTACCCAATGTTATAGAGACGGTTACAAACATTGTAGTTAGAAACGTAAAATTGAACCTTGTGGATATAGTTGTATTTCTAGGTTATAAAGTTAGATGGTAAATTGCAATGGGGTACACATATAAGTAAGTTATCAAAACGGCTCAGCTCTGCAGTGTAGGCGATTAAAAAAATACGGAAACTTTCAGGCGTTGAAACCGCTAGATTGGTTTACTTCAGCTACTTTCACAGTCTAATGACATGCGGCATTTTGCTTTGGGGTAATGCCGCCGATATGAATAGAATCTTTGTCCTGCAGAAACGTGCGGTTAGGGCAATTTACAATCTGGGCCCCAGAGTATCTTTGAGAGACAAGTTTAAGGAAATTAACATTCTTACACTAGCATCAATGTACATTTATGAAAATGTAATTTATGTTAAGAGGAATAGTAATCTCTTTATGAAAAATAGTGACAGACATAACATTAATACGAGGAATAGAAATAAACTAGCGTTTCTTGATAGTCGTCTTCACAAAGTCAAAAAATCATTTAAGGGGCAATGTGTATGCTTCTATAACAAGATTCCGGTTGATATACAAAATTTGCCTTTCACGAGGCTTAAAACTATAGTAATAATAATAACGCACACACTCAACATAGCCCCGCACTAGGGAAACCCTGTGTCGCGGGTGCCATGGACACACACATAGACAAACACAAATTACACCCAAACTCACGAGAGAAATAAATATAGGTCATACAAATATTTCGCCCGGCCCGGGAATCGAACCTGGGACCTCTGCGTGGCAGTCCGGCATGGTAACCGTTCGGCCACAGAGGCAGTTGTGAAACAAAAACTTTATACTAAAGGTTATTATACAACTTCTGCCTACTTGGATGACAAAAATCCGTGGTAGTACCCGTTTAGCTCATGGAGGTAGTCTCGATCTGTGATGTTTCAAATAAAATAAAAAATTGTAAATGTTATTTACAAAGAGCAACCGCTAGAGTTTCTTGCTCATTCTTCTCAGGGGAACCTGCCTTACGAATGAGCGGTAGAGTTTAACCAATGTGACGATTTCGAGTGTAATAATGCTTGCCTATGAAATAATCATTATTTTGATTTTGAATAACCACACCAACATTATTTTTTGGTTATTTTTGTAAACAGCCTTATTTATTTTTACTAATGTTATGCTCCCCGAATTTTGTGAAAAAATAAAGAAACAAAAAATAAATAAAAACGAATTTTGTGTAAAAAATAAAGAAACCAAAACAAAGTACAAATAGAACATGTTTAAAAATTATGTTGGCGTATGTTCATTGAAGGTATCGATTTGTTCTTCCAAGAACTTAAAACATTTGACTCAAAATAAACTATGTTGCTCTTCTCCTCCTCCTACCTACCCCACCTGAGTATATATGACCTGTTATCGAAATATTACGGAAGAGGTGTGAACGTATCATATAAATATTTTTAATTTATTAATATAGTATAATTTTATTTAATATAAACATTTTTCATATAACAATTCACTTAGTATAACGAACGTTCAATATAAATTTATATTCTATAATTTCATTTTTAATGACAAGTATCAGTTACAAACATTGACTTACAAATAAATGGACGACGGGTCTAATACAAAAACCACGAAAAAAATGTCCCAAGTCAACCTATTTAAACGTAGTGACATGTAAAGGAATATGAAAAAGCTAAAACGTTGAATTTAAATTGTAATGTCATCGCAGTACTGTCTAATTTTGCTTGCTTCGCTGTCAGTCGAACAAACGAAGACTAAAGCGTGAATGACGCTCTGTATACGATTTTAACGCCCTGTAAGTTCGGACACTTTTTAGCGCGGACCCGACGCCCATATAATTGTAAGTCAATGGTTACAAACCTCAGTTTACATAACTAAGTAGATTATTAAACGGAAAATAAAGTTGACCTAAAACAAGGCCGGAAATTCGGCTTCTATTTCATTCACCAACAAAATTCATCAACAAAATCCAGACTTTATTCAAAATAATGAAAGATTTCCATATTCTTGCTTTGTAAACAAAAGGACGTTCGGTAACTTTCATTCGATAAATGTGTTCTGAGTAACGTTTGTGGCCTTTGCCGGTCGAGAAGTTCGAGTAATCGTACAGGAGTGACGTCATTTTGGCTCAGTTTCGAATACGATGGTTTGACGTTCGATTCGGGTGTTGTGAATAAAAATGAAAATCGAATTGGTCTACAACTGAGTCATCGTAAGGTTCTCAATCGACCGCCTAGTAAAGTATGGGCGCACATTACAGGTACTTGTAAAGCCCATGTAAATGCCTTGAAAAATTTTTTTGAATTGACAGTCAATAAAATGATTGTGTAAAGGAGGGAGTTCTTTCGTCCGTTGGATGAGGTTACCAAAACAAGGCAAGTGAAACTCCAAATTGTTGTTCCACCTTGTATGTCGCCAATACAATTTCACCCTATATACGGAAGGTCCGGGCAGTTGTTCCTAAGAAGGGACTCAATCCTGGAAACCGTTCCGCGAGATGAGGTTTATTCACCCTATATGAGCGTACGTAATATCAGAAGATCCGGGTAGCAGTTCCCAAGAAGGGACTCAACTCCTGGTTACCTTACTGAGCTCTCTGTATTCTCAGATTTCTCTTCACATTAACAAAATTGTGTTCGAGTAGTCACCATTCAAGGGAAAATCTTAACACCGCGATTCAGAAATAACGCCAAATGGGTCAATGCCATCTAGCGGATTCTTAGAGAACTAAAAGTAAACAATCTGGCTTAAGGCCGTCTATTACTCTATCTTATAAAGTAGGTTTGTTACAATTGTTATATAAAAAAAGCTTTATTAAAAATGTGAATATTTATTACAAACGAGAATTATATAAAACTAAGTTACACTAAGTGTATTTAGTCGTAGTGAAAATTATATTAAATAAGCGTTATATCTAAATTAGTTTGATATTCACACAAATGAGGCGCACCCTTACGAAAGACCTTTGACTCTTTAATAACACGTCTTTTACAATTTTTCAGGTACAATTAAAACGTTTAACTACGCGGTGAACGGGCGGCACCTCGCGTCGCAGGGGTACCGAGCGTGTGTGCGAAGGAACACCGGCTTCTGCTCTGTGCGTTACTGGCCTTGTGATAGTCGATCTTTTCGAATCTCCGATGGCTCTGTTCTTGACACATACAGTACGTATTGTTACTTACAGTTATATTGTCGGTTACGAGGAATGCTTTATAATATTCGTCTGGATAGCGACAAGCCACTAAAGACTAGAAATTAACCATGACACGGTAGGGTCCATAATAAAGTGACAAAAAAAATAATTAGTACTTAACAGTAGAACTTGTGCAGGAGCTGCCGCTCAGTAGTAATGTAAGCATTACTGTGTTTCTTATTCGAAGGCACATAAGACTCGACTTTATGTCTCAAGGTTTTTTTTGTGATTTAATCTGGCCAATACGTTGCAAATGCGCCTGTTTGCAAAAGGTTCGCGAGTTGTACACATGCCTTACGCATTTCGATTTGCTCGTGTGCAGTTCGCGCTCCATGTATACTAACCAATATTTAACTGCTCGCATGCAGCACGCGTGCAGCGTGCGCGCAGCGCGTTCTTGGTGCATTCACCAGGTCTGTACACACAAGTCTATGGAACGTCCAATGATACTATATTTTAATTACATCACATTTGTTTGGCAACTAAAAAATAATGTAACATTTGTATCGTCGACGTTTTCAAAAACAAACGACGTTGACTTGTTGTTGTATTTAAATATAGTGATAAGTAGGTACTTATCACTAAGGTTGGTTACAGTAAAGCATTAAGGTTGCTTTCAAATTACTTTTTGCAACTTGTAGTACAACTAAAATAATAATGTGACAATCCTACGACGCTCCGAACGACGACCCTATTGTCTTATTATATTATTATTACTATTGCCTTAGTTGGTACCGATGTAGAAATACAGTCAAGCAACTTGCTTGTAATATACAGAAGGCATCTCTCGATTAATTACGATCTTTACTAGATGCTATAAGTCTTATTATTCACGACGATTATTAGGTGCAGATCTCGGCCCAGGTGGTTTAGGTGGCTCCGGCACAGGCTTCTATGGGCCAGACGGACAATTCGTACCACCTGACACCTCTGCTACATTGTCTACCACGCCGCGTTCTACCACTGTTATTACTGAACAGGAGCAGAATGGTTTACTTTATTGAGATTTTAAATCCCTTGCTTGGTTATGTTTAGTTAGTTATACCCTAGGAAGTAGATGTCATTTTCCGGTATAGTAGTTTGTTAGTTTTATGGGTTGTCTGTATCTATTGTTTTCTTGTAGTTCTTCTAACCGTATTTGTAGAAGAAACTCCTAAGCAGCAGCAGGAATTGAACGCTATCGTTGTAGTAACTCTCCTTCCTTAGTAATTCTCCTCATTTTTTCTAACCATGGGATAGGCTGATTGGTTGTTATACAATTCCTGTTTTTATTTTGGGATAGTCATGTACTCCTGTAGTATCCTTCATTTCCTTACGTAACTGTTATTTATAATCTTACTCTTGGACCATTCCTTCCCTTATTTTTGGGCCTTAATAACAGCTTCTAAGTCCAATACTAAATGTGAATCAGCTGGAATGTTGCTCAGATCTCGAATAAATATGTTATGGCTAAAACAAAAGAAGTTCTGTTATAATCTATACCTTTTTAACCGACTTCAAAAAGGAGGAGGTTCTCAATTCGACCGTATGTTCTTTTCTTTTTTTTTTGTATGTATGTTACGCGATAATTCCGGTATTTGTGAACCGATTTTCATGATTCTTTTTTTGTTGGAAAGGGGGTACTCCCATTTCAAGAAAATCGTCCACCTCGAAGGGTGGCTGTTCACGCATGAAGATTCATTTTTATTATAAATAGCGCCTTACTTTAATTTAGGAGCAATTACTTTAATGGTTCATTTTGCTATTTCTCCATTCCAAGGCGTTTTTCTCTCAATATACTTTGAGTAGTGAGAACCGATTTTTATTATCTCCAGTCAAGTCCTGTATAGTGGCGAACTAGGGGATATTTCAATAAAACTTAGCAAATAGACGTAATTCCACGTACTTTTGAGGTCGGTTTTTTTAGTACTCTGTACTGAGGTTATTCTCTTTCTATTCTCTTGAATCTTCTATATAACCTTCTATATATCTGATATAAATAACATGGTCTAGTTCTTCCCTTGCCTGTCTTTTTTTCTTTTGATCTTCCATTCTATAATGCTTCTAGAAACCTGTCGTGACTTATAAGATGCCCAAACATCTTTCCCTTGCGGTTCTCTATTGTATTTAATAAGCTTCTTTTTGTTCTATACTATTTTTAACACATCCACATTGGTCTCTCTTTCTGTTCAACTGATTATCTCCATTGTTCTCCATGTACCACAATTTCAATGCTTCTAATTCTTTTTCTGTTTCTACGCTATTGTCCACGTTTCTCTAGCATACGCTCCAAGTAAATACCTTTATCAGTAGATTCATGTCCCTTTCCGAAATGTTTGCTTTTAATAGAGGTTTTGTTTGTTTGGTGATCTGCAATTACTATGAAAGATTTATCAATACGCCCTTAGTGTAGCAACGGCCCTTTCCTCTTATCTTATACTGAATACAATTAGGTAAACGTAGATAACATGTAGTTTTGGTGACTTGGAGCCGTCCTGTCCTTTTAAAGATATAAACATTAAGCTGCATGGTTCCACTATAAACTTTTATGTATCTATTAATCCAAATGAAGTTTGACTATAAACTAAGTTAATAAAGGCCATATGAGTTTTATCGTCTATAAACTGAAAGCGAAAAACAATTCATCAATAAAAACATGTACTCGTAAATACGATTCTCTAGTTTTGTCTGAACTAACTGACGCTGTTAGTCTTTTCAATTCAAATACACTATTTACTTTATTGAATATTGAATAATGTTTGTACTACTTGTAATGTTTGTATATTTTTTGTAAAAATACTCCAGTAGTTTGTTATTATTATTGACACAAGGATTGAATAAATTATAAAGAAAAAATATCTCGATCCAACTGGACTCTAACCAGTGTCTAGTTGCAAAACCTGGGCGTTATATTTTACATTGTCTTTTAGGCTACGGTTACTATGCATGCGAGTCCTGATAAAGTCCTGAAATGTGTTCTGACGACTACGTCTGAAATCTTCGTCAGAACAAGGCAGCTACACTGCGCGTTTTCTGGTGGATAAAATGTAAACATAAATTGTAATTGCTTGTGTAAAATTACTTAAAAAACTCCACTTTTCTTGACACACAAAATTGTACTTACTGCTAGTATTAAGTTCTGAAGCAACTCTCACCCACTTTTGCCGAGAAATATCTCTGTTATGATAATTTTTGTCTCTCATTACGCTACAAACACCTGTTCTCGTACACAAGACTTATCAATTTATCGTAATCCATGGTGAAATATCCAAATCACTCGAAATTCAAAGCACGAAAACGCCCAAAACCGACCAGGTCACACAAAAAAATTAAATTTATTTTAACGATCAACTAGTTCTGACGACGTCATGCATATTCTGACGTATTCGTCGCTGCCAGTGTAAACACTCTCATTGAAAGACAGGCGTTTGTTTGTTTGGACTAAATCGTCAGAACTTGTCAGAACGCATTTTCATTAGAACTCGTATCCATAGTGCCCATAGCCTTAGATAGTCTGAATTTCGACACTTCTATATTTTAATGTGATATGGCTAAATATGATAAATAATTTCTAAATCATAAACTTTGTAACCTAGCTTGAAATGTTTAAGTCAAATATTACATTATTTTATAATTTTTATCCGCCATTGTAAACATAACATCTCTTAACCTGACAACTTTGGTCAGATACTGTGCAGGAAGAAGAAATGACACCTGTGGAAGATGAAGAAGAAGGATCAGGTTCTGATCCTCAGATTATGGATATGGACCCGAATCAAAGCAATTCACCACCCCCATCGAAGAGCTTTTTATCTACGGTAAGAAGAAATGTTGGTTAATTTAAAAATTTTTGCAAATTTCACAACTGTTTTGCATTTACTCGCTAGGTATCGCGATTCAACAAATAGACGAGTTGCAACAAGATACCATTAAACAATTCATATCAAAACTTCACTGCTTTGTAAAAATGTATTTAATGTTAAACTACATAGTAACATCTATATTTAGTTAACCCAGTTTCTTTCAAATATAATCCAAGTCCTTAACAGTGTTATTTTACAGTTCTAAAAGTAAAAGCCGTACTCTGTTGCATGTAATACCCTGAAAACTTCACACAAAAGGTTCATACAGCAGTAATAACAAGACAACTTAATTATACTTACATAAATTTTCATATTTCTTTGTCTCATGCTCTTTAACGCAGTTCTATTTAGTAAAATTTATATTTCCTACATTTTCTTTATTAAAGTAGTATCCTAGTCTATTCGTATTATGTTTTTGAGGTGGTTATTTAAGTCTAGAGTGGGCTGGAGTACTACAGTTTTTATTTAGTGGTCTGCAGAGCCGTCCCTGTAACAAAAATGTACCACCTACTAACAGGCTAATGATAGCCTATCGCAGCCCAGTGTTGGACATAGGCCTCTCTCATTGCGCGCCATGTCGCCCGTTCCTCAATCTATTTCAAACAAATCTGTATCAAATCTCATAATTACTTGAAAAACTTTGGTTATGTAATTTTTATTCTGTATTATTTATTTACTTTTCATCGTTATCATCATTATCAGCCTATGGCAGTCCACTGCTGGACGTAGACCGCTTCTAATGCTTCCAGCCTGTCGCATCCATCTGCTGTCATCATTCCATCTGATCAGAGGGTGATTCAAGAACCCGTTTCCCCAATCGGTTATCGGTTCTTCGACAAATGTAGCCAGCCCACTGCCACTTCAGCTTGCTTATTATACTATAGTTACGTAGGGCGTACTAAAAGTTTCCGGAATGAATAAGAAAAAATACTATAAATGGTCACAAATAAATTTATCGTTTTTCAAAATATTCTCCGTTAGCGTTAATGCGCTTTTTCATACGAATGAACCAATTTTGAAAACATTTATGCCACTCCTCCGTGACAATCTCTGAAACATATTTTTCATACTCTTCGACAGCCTCTTCAGGTGAAGTAACTAGTTCATAATTTTTCGAAATAAATAAAAGTCACAAGGTGCCAGGTCGGGACTGTACGCGTGAGGGCTCATAAGGTCAACGTTGTTCACTTTCGACAAGTTATTTGTCTGTCTGGCCGTGTGAGAACTGGCATTATCGTGGTGCAAGATGTTACGGCATTTACGGTTATTTTTACGAAGTTTGCCAATAACTTCCGGCATACAAATGGTCGTGTACCAATCACTATTCACGGTACAACGATTCTCCAAAGCAACAGTAGCCACGTGTCCAGTTTTATTAAAAAAAGAAGCAATCATCTGCTTAGAGGCTATTTGCACGCGCGCCACTGTGGTTGGTTTCGGCTCATCTCGAAAGATTGCTGCTTTGTTTTGAGATCGTAACTATAAATCCATGTTTCGTCACCTGTTACTATGTCCCACACCAAATTTAACGCCCCTTTGTTGAATCTGGTAAGCATGGCATTGCACCAAGTGACGCGATACATTTTTTGAGCCTCAGTCAAATTGTGTGGGATCTACCGAGAGCACAGCTTTTTCACACCCAAATGTTTGTGTAGTATTGATTGTATTTGATTCATGCCTATGCCTAAAGATGCCCGTATTTTATGGTATGTCACATGCCTGCCTGTTTTGATCATACGGCGCACAGCATCGATGTTTTTGTTGTTCACAGCATTGAACAGGCGACCAACACGAAATTCGTCATTGAGAGTCACACGACCGCGTTTGAATTCTGCAAACCAGCTATAAATAGTCGTCTTTCATGGTGCTTCATTGCCAAAAGCAGTTTGAAGCCGAGCGAAGCACCGCTGAGCTGTTAAATTACACTTAAAGTCGTAGAAAATTATACTACGAAAATGTTCACGTTTTTAAGAGGCCAGTTCCGGAAACTTATAGTGCGCCCTATGTATGTCGACGACCTTGATTCTATGTTGGACAACGTCATTTCGAATCTTATCCTTCAGAGAAAATCAGAGCTCAGCTCATTCTATACCTCGCTTAGTAACTTTTAACTGGTGGACTATTCTTTTGTAGTAGGTATTATATATTTTTAACGTTAGTTTTCTTTAGTATTTTCTAGCCCTGTAGTGCATAGAGTAATGTCCTTCCACCCCTGTAGTTAGACTAACTCGACTAACTCTCTTTAGATCTGGAGCTATATCTGGCCGTCTTGGCTGTGGGAACAGGGTCGTTCCATCCGCTGGTCACCCTACGCACCCTACTTCAGGCCTGATGACGGATACAGATATTACGGATATGGGAATTTAGGCGTCGGACTCCAACGGTACGGAAGACAGCGGTGCCAGGATCGCATTACTATACCTTGTGAGAACGAGTACTTTGTTTCGGTAAGTGTTCTTTTTATTAGGTCTATAATTTGAACGAGAAGTAAAGTCAATAAATGATTTCGAGTTCTTAGGTTTTCGCGATTGTTATACATAGGAATGAAACTAT